CATTTCATATAGAGGGCTGGTATCAACTGGGAGTTTCTGCCCAGTCGGGATGGACGGAGATAGTTCAGATGTCGACGAGGGATAGTTAAACCGAGCCTTGAAATATTCAGCCCAACGGTCAAGACGACGTTGCTGATCGTGAAACAGTGTGCTATCAGATTCNAGATTCCCTAATTACTTCACTTACGCCTATTTTCCTAGGACCCGTATTCCTAATTAGACGGAAAAGATTGCGACTATTACCAATTTCAACAGATCTCGTGTGTTTTTACACACTTACGTCCCTTCAGAACATTGTTACTTTTTCCACTCGAAACGATGCCTCCTTGGACCACTTTTCGTTAACGAACCATCTTTTTTCCGTGCCTTCAAACGTGCACCAGTAGGCAATTTCGATCACCGTTTGATTAAAGTTTTACCCACAATAAATGGTAAATGCAAGCAACAAATCCTCAGGAAGAACAATGCACGTGAGATACGTAAACGGCAAAATGATNTAGAATTAAAATCTATGGTTGCAGATACGGACTTGCAACAACTCTTCGATCCTGATATTTCAGTCTTCTGTGAGAACCTTACCAATTATCTCATCTATTGTTATGGTGTGTTGCCCTCAAGAAGGGATTCACCTACAGCCCAACCGCTTCATCTCTGATAGACTGAAATGGTTACGTAGAAAGGGTGTATCGCTCAGGAGATAAACTGACGGTCAAATCTGTCAACTTTTACATCAGAAGCGAGGTAGCCCATCTTAATCAGTTGTATGTTGACACCGTGCTAGGAGACAAATCCTGCCGTCATTTATGGACGGACTGAAGTTGCTCTGTGGTCGATCAACCTTACGTACTACATTCTCATGTGAAATCAATGAGTTCAACAGATCATTTGCTTCAATGAAAAATACTGTACAAGCTTTACCGAATCCAAACAAAACGTCACTTGATTTCCACCTTCCTGTGTCTGTCACAACCGAGTACATTCTAAATGAGTTAAATGCCGTCAACAGAAATAAATCCGCTGGTTATGATGGGTTATCCCCAGTGGTCCTTTAAACATGTGCAACCCGTCTCGCACAAACCGTTTCACTTCAATACATGTCTTTCAGAAGGAAGACCAGTTAACACATGGCGTGATGTTCGCATCACTCCAGTATCTAAAAAAGAAAAGGGTAAGTTTCGGTCAATTGCTTCATCTTCAGTAGTACTTATGACTTTTGAGTGTATTATTTTAAGCACCTATCCTCTAATCTTGGAATTTGGTGATTCAAATCAGTTTGCTTATTGTAAGCGTCGCTCTACTTTAGATGTAGTTCCTTGTCTTACACATTCTGTTTTATCCACCATAGACCAAAAACACAAAAATGTTCACGTTTGTTTCCTGGACTACACAAACGCGTTTGACACTGTCGACAGAAACATCCTATAAACACTGTTACGGCGACATATCCTCCCGCCTTGTCGTTTGAATTGAATGCACGACTATTTTACCGACCGACGCCAATTTACTTGTCTCAATGGTATTAGGTCTTCTACTGTCACTGTAAACCAGGGTGCAATTTTATTTCCTTTTCTGTTCTCCCGTTATATCCAAAATATGCCCCAATGTTTTCACTTTTGAATATGCCAATGACATAGTAGTTGGTGGTGCATCTTACAACAACAAACCTTCAACTAACCTCATTCAATCAGCCATAAGTTCCATTTCTGAATGGTCCGATGGTGTTAACCATTCTTTAAACCCCAATAAATGAATTGTTCTGCATTGACCGCAGACCATCAACTTATTCTGGATCATCTGCTCCCAATATCTTGATGAATAACTTAAAAGTTAAAAGGTCACAACCTTTCAAATGTCTTGGATGTTTCGTGTCTGCTGACCTCAAATGGTCCTGTCACGTAGAACAAACATTTCTTGAAGTCAGAGGGTTGACGCCTTCGGCATCTGAGGGTGCCATTGTACATCGTCTTCAAATTTATTTTCTCGTGCGTTTTATGCCATTGGACCTAATGCTCTCCCGTTATCTTTACCGGTCTACTGTCTAAGGATTTCATATTAATTAGACGCTCTCTGAAAAGGATCTCTAGATGTGGAGCTGTATCTAATGAGGAGCTAGTTGATTCCATTGTCAACCAACACGTGAATGCGTGTGACCGTCTGTGTGACTCCGTCTTTTCCTATGCGTCACCTCCCTTACACATAGCTCTATCTAGCTCCATTTCAACTTCTGTAACCCGCAATAAATTTAAACCTTTATATACTTGTACCACTGCTTTTCATAACTCCGTTATACCTTACCTTTCAGGTTTGTTGGTTTCTAGGGAGCGAATATCAAACGAACTTATACACAGTCGAATGCAAATTTTCATCCTGAAATTTTCTTTATTTTTTTAAGCGTTTTCAGTAACTATTTGTCGTATCTTTAAACTCATTTTTAATAGTGCGCATGCCAGAGCAAAAGCGATAACATTCTTTTCACTGAAAATTCTGTTCACATTGAATGAATAAAGTGCACTCTTGACTCGACTTGACTCATTCCTCAGACTCGTGATGAGCTGGCGTTTGAG